TTTATAAGCTGAATAAGGAGCATGATTGGAGGTGGATTTTTCAAATTCCTCCTTAAATTTTAGCTAAGGATGTGATTTAGGAAGTCTATTGTGGATGTTCCAATATAGTTACGCGGCCCACCAACAATATAAGTGAGCTTCCTCTCTATTAGAGATGTGATACAAATAATCTTATTTATATGTCCTATAATATAGTTGTGGTTGTGGGTGAAACATGAATTAAGGTTTATTAACCAACTAGTTTTTTTTTTATTTATAAATTTTTAAATTTTAATACAAGCGATATTTTGGGAGGCCGGGGGAGGGAATCGAACCTAGGATCTCAAGTATAGGGGTAGATGTTCTTAACCACTTGAGCTACATAGCCCTTTTTTTTCTTTCTTTTTTTTATAAAAAACTTAATTACTGTTCAGATGCTCAGTCTCATTTTACCCCCTGCAATTAAAATTTTCTCACTTAACCTCAGAATGTCTAAAAATTGATGAAATTTTCTCACTTTATAAGAAATTAAGCATTTTTTAAGGACATTTTCTATTGAGGGAGACGATAATATACTTAACTCACACACACTACACGGATGCTAGGACTCGAACTCAGAACCATGCCTGGGGGAGCAATTACTCAAAACCACTACAAAAAAAAAAACCCCTTGAACACCTAGAAGAAAAAAAAATTTAATTATATTTTTGGTCACTAGGGTTTGCTCAAAATCAAATATGGACACTGTGATTTCAATTTTCTCGATTTCGTCACCATAGTTGCAGCAATTAACAAATAAAGTCCTAAGCCTCAATTCCCTCAATTTGTTTAATTTAAAAAAATATTTAATATTAAGTTAAAAATAATTAATTTCAATATAAAATTTAATATTTTAAAAAAAAATCTACCCCGTGTTCCCTTTATTCCGCCATCAGCCTCATTTCCCCACCTACCCAATAGTACATAGGGTTAGTTTGGGATTGTTGTCACTTTAAAAAAAAGTTGCAATTGCTGTACTTTGAAAATAATTAATTGTAAAATAAAGCAGCTCCATGTTTGATAAATAATATTTTTAAAGTGTTGTTAATACAAATAGTAGTGTTAAAATCGTTTGACAAATTTTAATATAAAACTGTTATAAATGTGAATAATGACTAAAATATACATGATGTTGAAAGTATCATGCGCTAATCATGCGGTGGTAGTGGTGGAGGTGGTGGTGAAAGAGGTGGTGGGAGTGGTGATGAAGGTGGAGCTGGTAAGGATAATGATTGTGGAGGTGGTGGATGTTGAGGAGGAAGAGGTGGTGGTGGTGTCGATGCCAGTGTCAGCATGGTGGTGGTGGTGGTGGAAATTAGGAAAATTAAAATTACGGTGACCAAATTTGATTTTGAGCCAAACTCCATTGGCAAAAAATGTAATTAATATAAGAAAAAAAATAGTAAGGAGAAGTATTTACGGTATTTGTACGAATATGGTATATTATGTATAATACACATTTTGAAGTTATCAAATTTTAGTGGAATTGGGTTATATCACAGTGGTTTTAAAAAGTCATCAAATTTTATTTTACTTTTTCTTGAAAAACCCAAGGAAATTTGTAGCAGTCAGTGGTGGACACCACGGTTTATGAGCAGGCCCGACCCTGAGGTAAGGCGACAAGGGCTACTGCCCTGGGCCCCAAAATATTTATTTATTTTATTGTTCTTTTAAAAGTTGCTTGTAAAATAGTTTCTTAATATGAGATACGGTAGTATACTAGTATATATAAAGGACTAGAGTATATATAAGAAGTTAATAACATCAAGATTTCTGAAGTTCCATGTTGCATTAATGGTTTGTCTTTGATTTTATTCAAACCAAATCTATGTTCAAGTCCTACTAGTGTTAAGAAATATGACTTTATTTTTTATGATACTTGATGAGTTGATGTTCTGATTATAAATGTATCAAATAGACTATCTTTGGAAAAAAACCGACTATAAATGTCTTTGGAAGGACTAATTTATGGTTTATATAATTAACATATATTGTTCAACCCCTCTTTCTTCCTTTGGTGCATTTTACTACTTAAAATGTCATATTTTTCTTCCAATATCTTTCAAATTTTTTTCTTGTGTTCAATCATTGCTTTATATATAAAAAATTTAAACATTTCCACAAGTAAAATGAGTTTTTTTTTAAGGCTTAATTTTTGTTACTAGTTGTAAAAGATCTACATTTTACATACACACGTATAAATGAAAACAAATATTTTTATTTGTAAGTAGTCTTGCATTTATAGGGCCTTCTTTTTGACTTTGCCCTGAGCCACCAAAATCTTAGGGCGGGCCCTGTTTACGAGCCTCCAGTGAGTGCAAAGTTGTATCCCTATCGTACACCAACACCAACTACGGTACTGTCCTCTGTAGTTTACAAATTAGGGCTTGCTTTTCAGAGAGAGTAACGTCAGGGCTTTTCAGCGAGAAGCATACATACCTTTGAAAAGCTTCAGGCTTGAGGTCGCCGTTGAGGTTGAAAGAAGGACCAAGTCTCGGGTAAGTAAATTCTGTTCTGAAATTACAAATCAGTTAAAACAAGTTTGGAATTTGAAATTCCAAGTCTGCATTGGAATACAAACCCAATAACCGTGGATTCAGCGTTGGACGACCAATGTTAAAATTTTCGAATACATGAAGTCAAACATTCTTATGAATTTTGTTAGAGCGATCAATTTTTGTGAAACTTTCTTGTTATATCTTCACGTCACTACTAGGTCTTTCACTTCCGGAATATAGGGCAAGAATTGGAATGTCATGTACTTTTTATCAGTTTGGATGGTATGTTCTTATCAGTTTACAAAATTGCTGGGAAAGGAAAACGGTCTAGTCTGTAAATTTGGAGGTGTGGGGAAAATTAGGAGTTGAAGGACACTGAAAAACCCTAAACCCTGAAAAAAAAGGGCATTTTGATATATTGTCAGTCCTCTAGTTCTTTTTGGGTCACCGCCTCAATAACAGCAACAAACCAAAAAAATCAACTGTGATTCTTATAAACCTGCCTAGGATGAGACTGGATTTGATAACTCACTGGAAGGTATGTTGAAGAAAGAAATAGAGGCCAACTTCCGAATTTTGTCCAAGTTGAATGTAATAGATGGACTAGTCATGAAGGAAACTTACCCCTCCCAATCCCATCAACACCTTATGACTTATCTTCTAATCTTAATGCTTAAATTGGGCATTTACCCAAAACAATCATTAATCAATATGTTTATATCATCTTTCACCAACACGCACTTGTAATTGTACATAGCAGAATCATTAGATTGTTGCAATTTGAAATTATCCTCTTATTGCTGTCTTCAGTCATGTAGTGCACATAGTTCTGTTGAGATACCTCTAACTGTAATTAATTAAGAGTAGAGGTACTAGCAAAAAGAGCAAAAACAATTGAGTACAGTTGAAGGTGTGAGTTATTATGGAAGTCATCTTATTGTTGAAGCATAGTACGAACCATAAGTGAACCATTTGTTTGTCATCTGGTTTTTAAGAATGTCATCAAGATTTTCAGAACCTTTTTTTTGTCTTGGATATCTTTCTGGACACAACCAGCATCTTCATTGAAGTAAATAACCATCTGTCAAGCAAATTTGGATACAAAACCATAGAGAAATTACTATTCAGTCAATGCTTTCTACTGTAATACTGTGTGTCACTGGTTAAAAGATAGTTGTTTCCTTGTTGGATTGATCGTGCTGCAGTATCTGATGGAGGCTCAAATTCAAGAATCAGTTCCTTGTAGGCCTCAGGTCAAGGTGAAATTCCAGCTTGGTTCAGAAACATATTCTGTCAATCGAAATACGGGCATTCTTTCCGAGCAAGTGGTTTCCGTTAAAGAAGAAAGCATGAACATATTGAAGGACTTCATCACCAGACATAATGTTCCTAATGACATCACTGATGAACTTGTTGAAAACTCCTCGGAAGATGATGGTGAAATCCCCGAGAAGCCTCCTGTCAAGTTGAAGAAGACTAAATTTACTTGATTGCCTTTCTGTGCCCAGGTTTAAACCCCTAAACTGTTTGTGGAGTGCTCCTTTTGATGTCTTAGATCAACTTTTTGAACTACATCTGGAATTACCCAGCGTTAGCTACTTTTGCAATATGAAGTGAAGTGCTTATGTTTTCAAGTTTGACATTAACTACTTTTTGAACTATCAGCTTTTGAAATTCAGTCCGTCCAATTGAATTATTAATTATCAAGATTAATCCTGGACTCCAGCTAGGTTTTAGTAGGCATTTTCGTATCCCTTGTACTCTTGACTTCACTTAAATCACTAGCTGTTACAGATTATCTCCCGATCGAAAGTGCAATTGGCAGGCTTGTACAGATTTTAACTGCGACTGTGAGTCTGTTGACTAACCTGAAAACTCGGATAATACGCAAATCAAAGCTGTGCAAGAAAAATATTGTTCTCATGGGTAAGCTCAGATCTGTTCCATTCCACTAGCCTTACTTAGCACTCATTGTTAATAAGATGATATTAAACATCTTCTCCAGCAGCCAGAATGAGAAAAACTTAGTTGCGAAGGTTGCTATCTCTAGGCAATAATGCTATGCCAAAGTATTATCACATGTGTCATAGCATTATTGGGCGAGGATAACAAAATAGTGTTATTCCCGGTACATGGGAGTCTTTCTCCACATTCTGAGGTTACCTCTAAGATGAGCATATTTCTAAAATGGTTGAGAATGGAGGTTACCATACCGACTTGATTATGATGTTACAAACTCAGGGCTCCTGTAGCCATGGACGGCGACTTTTTTGTTTTTTTTTTTCCCCAATCGTTAAGGGATAGACGCTGACTGTTGGATGCAACGATGTTAGCATTTAAGAGTTCGCCCCTCCAATCTTCTGATTTTATCTCATTTTCGGACTGATTCCCAGCAAAGTAGGCCAACAAACTTCAAAAGAAGCTCGACACAAGGAGTAATTGTCATTATAATAATAGAGAGAGAGAGAGAGATATATATATATATATATATATATATGCATTAGAAAGGAGACTTGGAAAACCATCCACATAATCCCCAACTAAATTATCCAATATAACCCTCTTATAAAACATTAAAACCCAAAATAAACAAGAGAAAGACTTGAAGCCTAACAAAATTGGGTTGTGTATAATCTTAACAGACAACATTTGGATCCCAATTTAGGAGAAGTGTACACCATCCTTGTTGAACTCAGAAAGTAGGTCCAAGAATTGCTGTAATTTGAGCTTCGAGGACCTCTCCCCTTCAAAACCTGCCTTCATCAACACACTCAAAACCTTTTTTTTGAATTCAGATACCTCCCCTTCTGCATTACCATCCTCCACCTCCATTCCATCATCCACTCCATCATCATTCATCTCTATGTCCTCATCTGAAAAATCCATCACATCATCAATATCCTCCAAGGCACCTTGTTGGGCTGGTGCAAGATTAAGCGCCTGCAAGGTCTTGTAATTCTTCTCTAGCAAATTGATGACACTTTTCTGCCTAAAAATTGAGCCAAGCGTTTTGTTCTTCCTATTGAAACAGATCCGCAAAAAGCCATCCCACTCGTTTTGGTTCACTTCAAAAGGTGGTTTCCTGGGTTCAAGTCGAACGACAGAGGAATCTACCTTAGGCGGAGGGCGAAAGTTGTTCCTTCCAACTTTGAGTAGATGGGAGACCCGAGACAAGAGTTGCGTGTTGACGGTAAGACGACAGTAGAGCTTGTCACCAGGCTGCGCAACCAGTCTCATTGCAAATTCCCTTTGGAACATTATAATGGCACATCTGAAAGCAGGTTGGTGCTTCAATAACTTGAATGTGAGGGGAGATGAGATTTGATAAGGGATATTTGCCACGCATATATCAAAGTAGGGAAGTTCAGTCTTTAGCACATCTCCTTGAATAACCTGTGGACATAGCAAACACATCCTCTATCTGTATTCCATGAAAATCATCAACAACACATCGCATCACACATCATACAACAGAATTTGAGAATTCTTTCATGGCATAATAGTTCACACTTTCTAAATTATTATATTCACCGAAACGCTAATTGCAATTACTCAATAATGGGTTTTCAAAGCAAGAAGAAAGTGCTCGGATATTGAAAATAAGCACGAAAAAGGAGGTACCTGCAAGCGGCTGGAGAGAGGAGTGCCCTGAAATCGTCTCTGCAGCTCGAGGACCATGCGAGCGTCAATCTCGACGGCGATGACCCTCTTACCAACTTCTAGAAGCTTCTTGGTGAGATTACCAGTACCAGGACCAATCTCTAGGATGACATCGGTGGATTTGATCCCTGACTTCTGGACTATGGAGTCCACCAGTAACGGATTCTTGAGGATGTGCTGTCCTTTGGACTTGTGGAACGATATGCCTCCTTGGTAGGGCGTGTGCCCTGCTGGCCTCGCCTTCTCTTTCTTTGTTTTGCCTCCTGCCATTGATGCCAAACCAAAGGCTGAGAGGGTTCAGTAAAGGGTTTAGGGTTTTCGATGCAACACCGAAATCTATTTCGGTGGAATTTTGAAGTTTGAACTAGAATAGTGTGTGGCAGTTGAGAGGAGGAATTATAGAGCGTCGGTACCAACACGTAAGCTATGATCTCCTATTCAGAATTTATCACGGTTTTATCACGGTTTTTTTAAAAAGAAAACTTAGAGGTTGTATTCAATTGAGATTTTAAAAGATTATTTTGGGATAAATAAGTCATGTGATATTCAATTAAGATTTTTAAATAATCTAAATAAGTTTTGTAATATTCCATTAAGTTAAACTGTTTGTTCAACTAGACTTTGGAAAATTAATAAAAAAAAGGGAGCTGATTTTCTCATTCTCTTTTTTTTACTTACACTCTCTTTTACTTTTTAATATTTTTTAATTAATTTTGTTCTTTTTTATTCATTCTTTTTCCTATTCTACCCTTATCCTACATTAATTTATTTTTTTACTTCACTTTTATATTATTTCTTTGGCTTTTTATCACAAATGGTAATTGAAATTTGCGTAATTATCACCTTTTGTTCTTAAGGTTTTTTTGTGTGACACTAATGGTCCTTAAGGTTACCCTCTATATATTAAAAGGGGAATGCTAGCAACCTTTTCTCTAACATTCTCCTTTGGACTTTCTCTTTTTTCCTCATGACATGTGTCATTTTCATTACACTTAAAACAATGTCATTAATGCATTATACAAGCTAACTTTTGCTTTCAAAGTTTCCCTATTCAATTGATCTAAATTTTTTTCTTGACAACTTTCTTACCATCTTAATAAAAAAAAAAATTTTAAATTTTTTTTAAGGTCAGTTATTTTTTTTGGTATTTGCTTCTTGTTTATATAGGTTTTGGCTCTCCTCTAAGCCTTTTGCCTTGGGTAGTTATAGCCGTTTGTTTAATATGGATGGAGACCACTCTTTCGTTTTTCTTTTGTTAATCCACACTGTAATTTATTCATTTTTTTCATATTGAATTCGATTTTGATAATTTTTTATTCTTTTGCTTCTATATATTTTATCTCAAGTCTATTTTGTTAGGGGATATTTTGGTTTATTTAGTAGTATAAAAAATGCAATCAAGCAATTTCTTTTATATATAAAAAAAGTTAGTATGTAAACTCTATACCATTGGGGTGCTTACGGAAGTGAATGATGTCTTTTTTATATATAAAATAGAAAATTGACATTTCTTTTGTGTAAAAAAAAAAAGAAAAAAAAAAGAGGAAAGCAAACATTTTCTTTCAAAAAAATAACTTACGTTAAAAATAAAAAAAAAATTAAAAAACTTTTTATTAAGATGGTAAGAGAGTTGTCAAAAAAAAAAAAAAAAGAATAATTGAATAGGGTAAACTTGGAAAGCAAAAGTTAGCTTGTATAATGCATTAATGACATTGTTTTAAGTGTAATGAGAATGACATATGTCATGAGGGAAATGGAGAAGGTCCAAAGGAGAAGTTTAGAGAGAAAGTTGCTAGCATTCCCTATATTAAAATGGTCCATGTCATTAACTTCCATCACATTTTCTGTTAAAATGCTGACGTAACACACATATGGCCCACACATCCAATCATATAGAGTCACATGACTTTAAATAAAATATAAAATATATTTAAAAAAGAAAATTAAAGTTTTTAGAAAAAACATATTAGAACTTAAATTTAAATAATAATAATAATAATATGCATATCTCTCTCTCTCTCTCTCTACCCAAGCATCTCACACCCGAATCTTTAAAAAAAGAGAGCTTGTCGCAAAAATGAAGTATAAATTACCATCCCCGGCCCTTACCCATTTTGCCCCTAAATCTCCCCTCGTTAGGTCTGGGAACCCAGCTAGATAGGGATTTATGCCATCCATAAGTCCGATTCTTCTATTTGACTAATTTCTTATGTTGGCGTAAAATGTTGCATTTTTGTCTGGCTAAAATGTTCTAATTTTTCTTATGTTCGGATATTTTCCTTTTTTTTTTTTTTATAACAAGGATCTTTATGCAGAGGAGGTTGTTGCACAGAGCTTTCTTCTCCAGCCAGGGCTCATTGCCCCCAATGAGATACACGATGAAATGAAATTCCTAGGTGGCTAAGTATAATGTTGAAGCTGCAATTTTCACCTTGATTCAATCATCAGTCTGTCAATGCAAATACATATATATTTTTTTCTTTCCAAAAGGATGAATTTCCAATTAATACAAATTTTGACTAATTGACAAAGCAATTGGAACGCGAGACCTAATTTGGCATAATAACTAAGATTTATAGTCTGACAATTTATATAAAATGCAAAATTGACAACATTTTCCTATATGAATCAAGATGCGTATAGCAAGATTGCTTCAAATTTTTTAAAGTTCTTTTGTCAAACTGCTGAGCACTAATAATAATGATGATCTTGGAGAAGATGCGTATACAATAAATGATCTGCTTTGGCCTTGGGGATTTCACTCTCCCTCTGGAAGGACTGCTTTACCAAAAATGGAACAACGGGGACCTACTCGAAAAACAAAATTGAAAGAAGAAAGAGCAGCCAAAGGAGTAATAAGGAAGACCAGTTGTATCTTCTGTACTCAAAACCTCTGCAATCTTGACAGTTTTTTCTTAAACCATTTTGAGATGTGCCTAATCCGGGCTTGCAATTCATTTCTCTTGAAGTACTGCCTCGCGTTTGACAGCATAACCATTATATCATGCTCCACAGCTTCCAAGCTTCTATAATAGTCATTCCTTAACCTTGACTGGATTAGTTCCGGGTACAATTGCACAGGAAAGCTGCAAATATCCACAAACCAAAGTATCATTATTTTCTCAAAATCTTAGTTTTTGCCAAAAATTATTTATATTAAAAAACGTGATTATTGATGTGCACTTGGTTTTTGTGTGTGTGCAGGCTTTGTGATAGAACGGCAGGATGGGCCCTCTTAACAGGCTATAAATATATAGGTCATGAAGTTCCGCACATTCTATCTAATTTCAAGGAAATTAATTAGAACTCAATGGATTGGAAGGTTCCTATAAATGTTCTAAGAGCATCCACAATGATGCTCCCTATTTCTTGGTTAAAATTTGGCTAAAAATATAAGAAAGCTATTTTAGGAGGTCTCTAAAAAATTTCAACTCCAACCATAGGACTCCCTATTTTAGGAGGTGGATAGAGAGTGTGGTTGGAGTTGCATTTTTACAATTCCTCCCTAAAATTTGTCTAAGGAGGTAGTTTAGGGAGCCCATTGTGAATGCACTAACACAGGGATATGATTAATCCATATCTAGTATTTCTTTACCTGTTGCAGAAATCCGCCTTCCGAACAGCTTGATTCATTTGTTGGATTGTTTGGGAGTCCTGCATCATTTACAGCATAATTAATTAAAATCCTTATAACAGTTCAAGCTTTAAATTCCAATTCCCACAAAATAAAAACAACAGGGATGTGAAAGTATTTGAATAACCTTCTGCTCCAATTTAGAAAAATAGTACAGCAGCTTATCTCTGCTTTCAGAGTTAATATGGGGGTGTTCCAATAATATGGATGGATCACGCAGTTCCCAAGGACAATGACAATGGGTTATCCCATCATCATTCTTGTACCGAATCTCATATCTTAACCAAGGGCTGTCGGGAAACTCATGTGATTTGGCCTGACAACGAACAATTTGACCTTCCCACCAATCCCCACCTCCATCTGAATCCCTCCACCAAACCTCGCATTTGTCCCTAGTGGTCCAGTTTCTTCTAATAGCAGCATCATACCATATTTTCTCAACAATGAAATCACTGAAATCAATTTCAGGCAAAGTTAAATTCCATGGTTTACCAAACATAGCAGAAGAAGGGTCTACAAATTTAAGTTCCATTCTACTGCAGCTCTCCCCAGAACCAGGCTGCGAAGCATAATCAATGCTTTCAACCTTGCAAATTTCCACAGCTTTGATGTTTTCCTTAATTGATCCCCAAGGACCCCAAGGACCCACTTCTGATTTCATAACTACTTCTAGATACTCTTGATGGCCCTAACAATCAGATGCCAAAATATTAGTATTAAACAGTAAATACAAAAGCAGAACTCAAAAAGGACCAGAAACCATGAATACAGATGCTAAAAATTACCTGTCTCAGGTACACCACTTCATCACCTAGCTGAGGAATATAACGGTAACCCGGCTCATGTTTTGACAACATCAGCCATGACAACTTTCCAACAGGGGTATCTAACATGCTTTGGGTTAAAGAACTTTGGTCATAATCATTATATGAACCCTGACGATTTCTTGTAGACCTTGGTCTTTGATATATCTGATCACACACTTTGACGGAGGAGTCTTCTGCATCTTTTGATGTCCCTGCTGTTTGATGGCCCCATCTCAACTTAAGGCTACGGCTCAGAGAGCCCACCCCCTGTGAAGTTGCCTTGATCTTTAATGTTCTTGTTCCACGTATTGCACCCATTGCAGCTTCAGGGAGATCAATTCCTGAATCATGACGGTCGTTGACATTTGAAGTATTTTCTTCCATATTGCCATCAACACCTTCTGAATTAGTCCTACCCTTGAAAAAAAACTTCAAAGAACCTGGTCTGCCAGCACCTCCACTCACTTTTGGCATTTCCAGATTTAAATTCTGGTCCATGCATGAAGGATCTTCTGGCGTTAAATCTCCATAACCTGTTAGGTGTTCTGCAGAAAACTTAAGGGGAGCATTATACTTTAATTCATCAGAGTGCATTGTTCCAGCAGCCTCCTCTATCTCCAGGGAGTCCTCTATGCCTTTTGGTTTGCGCTCGCCCAAAGCTGAGGACTCAAAAGATGACGATATGAGTGTATGAGAAAGCTCTTTACTTTTGAGACCGGCCAGATCCTCTAATGCATCAGTTCCATTATGTTCCTCATCCCTGCAAGGCAAGATACCTCCATAATTTTATTTTTTCCCTTAACTTTTGAATGAGTATAAAACTTTGCACAGTTGTCCTTAGGATAAACATACCAATTGACATAATTCCTCTCTTTCATATAGACATCAAAACTAGCAAGCGATCCAGTGGCTGCCTCTATTGGCATGGGATTTCCTGATCTTGTATGCTTTGGTGCGCGTATCTTG